CATGTTTGATGGAATCAGAGGCTAATAGTTACGCTCTGCTGTGACAGTGCACTCCAAGCCAATTTCCTCTCTGAATCCATTTTAAATATGCTGGTGACGGACATGAGACCGCTGTCAATGGTAGAGGATGAAGGCTTTTAAGAATTGATCAAGCATTTGATTTAATTGATATTTCTTTTGTTGTTGATAATTCTATATTTTTCTATGTTAAATACCACTGCCAGAGTGAAGTTTGTGTGTTTACAATTATTTATTTTTGGTACCATTTTCTATTTTGTACTTTATTTGAATACTATTTTATATGGCAAACTTTTATAAAAGGTTAAAATGAACTACTGTCTTAATTGTCTTCTTTTTTAGTAAGCACATAAACAATTTCCGAAGGAGGTTATTTAATGGTGGTAAAATTGACATTTCCCCCTGTGGGACTATTAAAGGTACATCTTAACGCGAATGCAAATATTTAAAATATATGATCTGATTAATTGATTAATCCTAAAAAATTATTATCAGGTTAATCGTTTGTGGCAGCTCTAATGAAAAGAAAAAGTTTAAGAAAACTCTGAAACTGTGACAGATGCTGATTCAGCATTTTCATAGTTGTTTTTCAGTTCTTTATATTTTTATAAAGGGTAAAAGGGTTCCTTTATTTTAATTCTACAAATACAACTCAGACAAATGCTACAACTGCTTTTGTTTTACCTGATACAACATCTGGTGCACCTTGACATAAAATGTAAACTAGTGCCAACAGCTGCAGAGCTTTAACAGTGTAGGTGCTGACTCTGACCACTAAAGCATAGTGAATACTTGTGATGTGAAACCGTTGGCCAATAAAAAGATACTTTGAAACCCAGCCTCATAAAGAAAGTAGCCTACTCTGTGTATCAGGAAGACTTTGAAGAGTGGTTTTAACATCAGTGGAAAAGTGAGTTGTTATTTGGATAGTTTATTCAGTTTTTAATTTTGTAGAAGTTGAACTTCCTGTGAAAGTTTAGCAAGTTCATTGATTAATTAATCTTGCTTTTTTAATGAAAATTTGTATCACATTAAGTATGGTGAACATTAAGTATTGTTGACCAAACTAGTGTTGGCTGACCGGTCACAGCCCAACTGCGTCCAAATGTGGACACTTTTGGCTGTTAAAAAAAGGGACATAATTACTACAGCACCACAGTCCAAACTCTTCTCATGGTTAATTTATAGTGTAATGAGGAAAGTATTTGTGTGAGCCAAGTTAACTGAGACAATGCAGCCGTATTTCCCTCTGGTATGTTTTTATGAAGGTACTTTGACTAACCTTGACTTACCTGTTGGTTGCCTTACAGGTCAGCTGTGCTGTCGTTGGAGAGTGGCAGAAATCCATGAAGGAAATGTAAACAAATCATTTTACAGTGTTACAATTCCTAAAGTGTTATGTATAATCTGAGTTAATACTGACATTATTGTGATCTACTATCTAGATCTATCAGAGGATGTGGTCAGAGATCATAAAATTTAAAGTTGAGACATAAACGGACACAAGAGTAGTCATTAACGGTTTATTTGACGAAGACCGACATAACAGGCAAACTGAAAACAGCCACAGTCTGTAGAAGATGCTAATGTGTAACTCCTGTCTCTAAAAAGGCTTAAAAATGAGAAAATAAAAAGGAAAAAATATCAAAACATAGTCAAACATGCATTTGGCACTTACAACTATAGAAATGTAAGATAAGTAAAACGTCTTTACAGGTTAACTGGGTTCATTTGCTCTCTTGAAAAAAACTGAAGTTCAATAATAATAAGTTCACTAGGAGCTGAACTCATAGTGGATCTGGGAAACAGTGGAGGACAGTAAAGTGCTCATGGGAGCAGGAGTGTGTTAACATCGATGCAATATCAGTTTCAACAGAAGAGGAGAGTGATGGGTAGACTTAGTGAAAGTTGGCTGGTATCTGTGATTTTTCTGTGAGGAGCAGGTCACAGTGGCCACAGATTTGGTTGAGATGATTATCTGGACGTCAGTGGCAAGACAGTTGAGTTGAAGAGTGTATTTATATCCATGATGATACCAAGGGGGAGCATAAGAGGAAGGGAATCAAAGGGGACAAAGCACTGAGCCCTGGGGGAGCAGGATCCAGGTCAAAGATGTTCTGATGTTTGTCATGTCTGTGATGTGGACATCATCAGCACAGTGACACCATTAAAGACCGTATGGTATCATGAGGGGATAAAAGGACCCAAGCATTGACCCCTGGGGGATGCCTTTGGATGTTGGAGAAGTTGAGATGGTGCATTTATTGACATTGATGAGCTGTCGTATGTTTGAGTTAGGGCCTCAGTCAGGAAAGAACCACGCAGTGATATCAAGGAAGGAGAGTTGAAGGGGGGGGGAGTCAAGAACCATGATAGTCCTGATGTCAGGGTTCAGTCCAGATTTTTTTTTGTGGGTGGGGGGTGGGATGGCATCAGCATGTTTGAGAGGTTATGAGAAGGGACATATCCTCTGAGTTGCCTCCTTTGCTTCCTCTGTTGTTCACCATCTTCATTCTGTTTCCCTGCCCCCATGAACCTTCCCACCTGCACCCATGTACCTCATTCCTGCCTGGATTCCTCTGTCCACTCGACTTTTCATCTCTGTCAGTTTCTGGATCTTCTGTGTGTCTCCTTTCTCCTCCATCCTTTTAATCAGGAAGTCCAGGTGTTCGTGGACAGTCAGTGAATCTGCATTCAGGGCAATTGTCTCCAATTCAATGATATGCTTGAAGGCCTCGTCCAACCATTTGTCTTTGTCTTTCTGAAGTTCTTCCATGACAATTTGTAGAATTTCCAGAAGGCTCTTTGCCTTGGCATGGCCTGCCATACCTGCTTCAAACTTGTCTTTCATTTCCTCACAGGTCTGCATAACGGTTTTTGTCTTGGTAACATACCTCCATGAGTCTTTCACATGTTGTGATTGATGACACTTTCCTGTGCAGACAGTGCAGCGGCTGTTTGAAATGACCTCACACATTCCTGCAGTCCAGGATAATGAGCATAAATCGTGACAGTTCTCCTCACATTTGGTACAGCACAAAGTCCCTGATTTAGCGAGCCACAATGTATACCACTTCCTCCCACCATCATACTTTTCTTTGTCTTTGTAGATTTCAGTGGTTGGTATCTTGAAGTCTTTGTTTTTCTCAATTTCACCTTTATGTTTCTTCAGAGCTTCCTCTTTTTCCTTGATTTCCTTCTGTTTGTCCTCGATAAACTCAACTCTTTCTCTGAGGTTTTTGATGCAGGCCTTCAGGGTCTCTCTTTCATTCAGTACATCCACAGTTACCTGCAGCCGTTTAGGTTCTGATCTTCTCAGAAATTCTCCAAATTGTCCCATGCCTTTCTTTGTTATTTCATCGGCATGTTCAAGGCCGTCTGGATCCTCCTCTCTGTCTTCCTTCTGGCAGTTATCAAACAGGAAGTAAACAGGCTGGTTCTTGTTGTCTTTGGCACACTTGATTTTTGCACCTTCAAGAGCCTTCAGGACATTTTTAGGTTGTCTTCCAGGTGAGTGTGTAATGAGAGCAACAATGCTGTCCTCCATGTTTTTACCAAACAGAGACAACACAGAATTGAAAATGTAACTCTGTCGGTCATCCAGTCGGTTCACAGAGGCCTTCAGCACCAGACCCACAGCGTTAATCTCATGGACTCCATCTTCTGTGCGAAACAGGTCCAACAATCTTTGACTGACAATGTCGTCATGTTCAATCCCTCCAGTATCTCCATACCCAGGAGTATCGATGATGGTCAGAGAGTATGGCAGAGTTTGATCTTCAAACCCAAAGATCTCGTACACCGTCACATCTGATGTCTGACTCTCACACTGATTTTCTGATTGACTTGCAGTCTTGTTGTCTTCAACGATCTCAAACCAGATGTTGTCCTCCCACTTCACCCCCATGGCGTAGTTGACCAGCGCATTGATCAGAGTAGATTTTCCTGTTCCTGTTTCACCAACGAACAAGATTGTTTTGTTTAACTTGCTTGCATCTTTTTGACCCAGAGTCATTCTTGTCAGACTTCCAACATGTGCTGTAGTCGGTATCAGCCTGTAGACAGCAGGAGATCCTCGTTGAATCAACACTTTGTTGGTGATGTGGTTAAATCTGGATGAGTTGGTCCTGTAGGGCAGTAAAGATATTAGCTCGACAACTACTGGACCTAACTTGAAATTACAAATATCATCATTCACTGTGATGTTCTTATATACGGGAAAGCATAACATATGATGAAGGGTCAATTCATGTCTGATTTAACATGTTTATCAATAACTTTGCCTTTCTGCAGTTATTAACCAAGAAGTCCTGCACATGCAACAGTTGACAGCAGAGGAAAGATCTTTGTAGACCTCTTCAGGCTGAAACTGTGAACAGGTTTAAGACACAAGATATATTGTAGCACTCGTGTTTCCATGTGGTTGTGGCTTTCACCTTACACTGTAATCATCTGTTGAAATGTCAGTTCACAAACAGTGGAAGTTGATCACACTCAAGTGTATTTGAGAGTGATGACTGCTTTTTTCCAGCAGGTGGCATTATTAACATTGAGTTAATACTGTATTATGCACGTAAAACTTAGTATTATGTATATCCACCAGGTGGTGGTATGTCTACAAAGGAGGAATCAGCACATACTGTAGGTTGGTTTTGGGGTGGACCTTGATTATTTATATGACTTTTTAAATAGATTAAACAAAGTATGAAGGAGCAACAGTGATCACTGCAGCAGACAAACCATTTAGTAGAAGCAAAAACCTTTGAGAACTTGTAATCTTTATCGTGTCATTAATACTTGATTAGGCTTGTGGCACACTTTTATGATAACCCTTTCATCTAGATCCTAGTACCTAATCCCAGATGTGTTTTTTCCTCAGACAGAGACATCTGCTAAGTGAAAGTGTAGATGTGTTATCTTTCAATTTTCCTTACTCACATTGCCATAGTTGGGTTTTGACAGCAGCTGGAGGATGGAGCAGCTTATGAGTTATCTGAAAGAAAAGAAGTCAGTTAACCGCCTGTCCTGACCGCTGGCCTGTGGTTGTCTGTATTTCTACACCAATGCATCACTATAGCAGTGCAGCACAGCACACACTTAACCTGGCAACCTTTAACACATAATAAACATTCAGTCTTCAAACATTTGGTCATAACTTTGATTTTTATATTTTCATTTACTGTTGTGTTTGTGTTGAAATGTCCCTTAATATACTACAGTTTTATAATTGTTCATTAGCTTAATTTTATCTTATTTTTGATTTGATATCCTTTGGGATGTGTATTGTTATTTAAGACCCACCTCATGACCTGAATTGAACCTTATAATGTTAAAGCCCAATAACTATATTTAGTGTTAATATTTGGTACTTATTAAGAAGTTACTTTATAGCTCTTCAAACGAAGACCAGTGTTAAATCTGTTGTTGGCTCCCTTGTTCTGACCTGTACGAGTAAATGAAGCTTTTAATCAAAGGCTGGTACACATTAATTTACTTTTAATATGCAATAAAAAAATACTGCTGAGTTTACAAAGGTTTCACACCAGCAACACGTTCTGTGTGATTATAATAACATCAGATTGATGGTGAACTAAATCCCAGGCCGTCTCTGCTCCAGGTTTTTCTTTTCTAACTGAGATTAGTGGGCTGTCCATGTCTTCACTCTCTGCTGCTCAGAGCTGCTCTGTGCAGCAGTGTTGCCAACTCCTCATTAAGGAAAGTAGCTATTGGCTGTCCTAAAAGTCGCTAGAAGTCGCTAAAGACGTCATCGCCTAATTTGCATGATTGGCAAAATTGTGATGGACGCTGTAAGGGAGAGGGTACAACATCGTGGGAGGGACAAAAAGTGAGTAAAAAACACCCTAAATTTGTTAAAAACTACAAATGAACTTTCCTCTGTCAATCCTTGTTTTTTTTTTTATGTCACCAGCCCTCCTCCTTTATCCAGGCTTGGGACCGGCAAAAATGACCCAATTAAGACAATTGGCAGAGTTGCTTTTTTTTTTTTTTTTTTTTTTTTTTTAAAGTTTTGTTTGGTTTTAAACAACAACAAATCACTGTAAAACATTAATATTTTAACTATAACATTTTAAACAGTTTGTACAATCTAAATCTAAATGGATCAAAAAGAGACAATAGAAAAAGACTGCCAGTGGCAATGTGCACTCTGGCCTCAGTAAGAGGGTATAACTAAAGTAATATCTGCAATCATGTTAGCTTACCTCTGATTAAGTCGTGTCTGTCTGTGTCAGAGGGGCGGCTGGCCTTTTCCTGCTCCTTACCGACACTCTCTTCTTCCCCCGAGTGTGATGCAGTTTTGGGTTGAAGGATGAGTAGACTGTGACTTGGAGGTATTAACAGATGAGAAAATAGACATGTTTCTTAAACAGCATCTTAAACAGTTTTTTTTATGTGTACTAGTGTGGCATAAACTGACCCCACCCATCTCTGCAGAAACAGTGGTGCAGGAAAAGTCCCATTTCTTTATCTGATCTTTGCAGACTGACTGTTACGACTTCAGTCTTAGAGTCCTCACATTATTAACACAGAATAAAAAATACTGCATTCAAGTAGAAAAGGTGTCAGCATACTGATGTATTAAAATGTTCACTGGCCTTCAGACCAATAGAATACTTTCAGAGTCTAAAACTGGAACAGTTTGTTTATGATTAACTGAACCATCTTCTTAAAGGGGCTTTTCTTGTCAAAATTCAAAGATGCTGATTGGTTGGTGTGTGCTGTGTGACAACAAGCTGCGTCAGAATTAGCTCTTTAGCCACAGAGCATTGTTATTCTCAAGTGTACTGGACTGTTATGGGTGTGGCATCAAAGCAAAGCAAAGAGGTATTTGACTGCTCATGGCTCAGAGAAAGCAACTTCAAATTACTGAACTCCTAAAGTCGTAAAATGTCCTTTTCAAAAGTCTGAAATTTAAAAGAGTTTTTTCATACTAACAGTGAAATCCTTCAACAGTTTAATGAGATTTAGGTCTGGTTCATTTTTAACAAAAAGACAGTAAAATACCAGATTCACACTGAAGTCTTTACTTTCTAAACACTCAATCAGATTCAGATTGTTTTGATCACATTTTTATGCTTCTTTCTTTTCAAATTAGTTTACAAATTAGTATATTTAAAAAACAGGTCCTCCAAAAGTATTCTATTGTAATTTATTAATATAGTGTTGCAAAATACACATGAAGTCTACAGTAGAAGTACCTCACATAGCACTTTTTGAAGAGTGATGAACATGCACTCACGGGTAAACAGTAAAAGTATCTGACAGATGTACTTCCTGTCCATTTTGCTTTGTCTAGCACAACAGTTGTTCTCTAATGCATCACTATAAAAACATTTCACAAAAGCCTGACTTATTTTAGCTACAATCTGTTTTATTTATTTATCAATAAATAAAACAGATATTTATTTATTTAGGTATATTATTGAATGTTTATAGTAGGAGATATTGATATCTTAGAGTATTGAATCTGTTTCCTACCTGTCAGCTTCAGGATGCTCTCCGAGGATGCTTAGAGAACAGAGAGCAGAGTTTATATCTGCAGACTGCAGGGAGGGCAGGTCCTCCTCAGGTCACATGATTTTAAGGAAACTGTCTCCTCATCCCACCATTTTTACTTTCTCTTTCAGCGAGGGGGTTTTCATGAAGGCACACCATTTCTCTGAAACCATGTGACAACTTCCCCCCCTCCCCGAGCTCATTTGAAAATCAGAATAATTAGAGCCTGAGCAGAGTTGTGTCTGCAGAGCTGGAGGCTGCAGTTTCCGGACTACATCCGTGTCTGTGCACCAGTCAGGGTTAGGTCAGTCAGTCACTAAAGTAACTAAAGAGGCTGTCCTTTCTCATGCAAACCACACCAGTCTTGAAACCGCAGATGTTTGTTTGAAGTTGCACACAGAAGTTTGTACTTTGGACTGTTTTTGAGAACAGATTTTAATCAAGCACTTCATATCTTAATTTTGAGTACGACTGGCAGGGCTGCAGTCTGAGAGGGTTGTAGGGGGTTTATATGACCTCTTAGAGATGATATGTTCTATGTCACAAGATTATCACTTATTCCCAGAGGTCAATTGTGTCTTCACACGTGTTATTACCTTGTTGAGTTAACATTCTCTGTGCACCAGTTGATGTCATGTGGTAACAAGATTATTAAGTCCAAAAAAAGTCAAAAATCTCTCTAATTGTAGACTCAAGGGAATTATCTTGCTTTATCTTCTTAAATGGATTAAATATTTTGAGCATCAGTTGTAACTTTGTGGGAACAAGCTAATTGTCTGTGTATGCAAAACTTACAGAATTAAGTTTATCTTGTTTGCACAACAGAGGTATCTTGTTCCACAAGTCAAATCTGTTGTTTGTACAAATGATTGTTTTTTATGTACAAAAGTAAAAACCTTGTTGGACCAAGTTATCTTATGCACACAAGATAACATCTTGTTCCCAAAAGATTGTTTCATTGCCTGCACCAATTATATTCATGATCATTTATCTTGTGTGTTTAGTCATTGTCTTTTGATGATAGTGTTAGTGTGCCAAAGTTGATTTCCAGAGATGATATCAGGTCTCTAAATCAAGTTTCTACTCATAGATTTCTTTAGTTTTTATTAAAGGTCCAATTCTTACCCGACAAAATTAAATAACTGCATCATCAACCTGAAATTATACATGATGAGGTTGTAATCGGTGGTGTCATTTTACAGTCATACATCAGAAATCTACAGTTTTTATGTATTATTAGTCAGAACAACATTTGAGATATGAACAGTTTTTTCACTGTGTCAAAATAACAAACTATCTACAGCCTCTAAGTGCTCCTTTGTACCGCAGTCCTGCCTGGATTCCTCCATCTACTCGACTTTTTATCTCTTTCAGTTTTTGGATCTTGTCTGCATCTGCGTCTCCTTTCTCCTCCATCCTCCTGATCAGGAAGTCCAAGTGTTCATGAGTGGACAGAGAGTCAGTATTCAGGGCGATCTGCTCCAGTTTAGTGATGTGCTGGAAGGATTCGTCCAGCCATATATTTTCTACAATGGTTCCTATTACCTGTATCCCAGAAAAAAACAAGCTGAGGAATGAGGGAAAACTCTCAGCCTGTCGTTGAAATTCATCCTTTCTTGCTTGAATTATCTTAATCTGGTCTTTCAGGTTTTTGACACTCGTTTTCAGTCCCATCCTCTCATTCATAACATGTACAGTCATCTGCAAACTTTTCGGTTCGGATCTTTCCAGAAAGTCAGCAAACCTCCTTATTCCCCTTACTGTGATTTCATTAGCAAATTCGAGGGCATCTGGATCCTCCTCTCTGTCTTCTGTCTGGCAGTTATCGAACAGGAAGTAAACAGGCTGGTTCTTGTTGTCTTTGGCACACTTGATTTTTGCACCTTCGAGAGCCTTCAGAGCATTTTTAGGTTGTCTTCCAGGTGAGTGTGTAATGAGGGCAACAATGCTGTCCTCCATGTTTTTACCAAACAGAGATAGCACAGAGTCAAAGATGTAACTTAGACGGTCACTCAGACGGTTTACAGTTGATTTCAGCACCAGACCCACAGCGTTAATCTCATGGACTCCATCTTCTGTGCGAAACAGGTCCAACAATCTTTGACTGACAATGTCGTCATGTTCTACCCCTCCAGTATCTCCATACCCAGGAGTATCGATGATGGTCAGAGAGTGCGGCAGAGTTTTACCTTCAAACCCAAAGATCTCGTACACCGTCACTTCTGATGTCTGACTCTCACACTGATTTCCTGATTGTTCCTCGACGATCTTGAACCAGATGTTGTCCTCCCACTTCACCCCCATGGCGTAGTTGACCAGTGCGTTGATCAGAGTAGATTTTCCTGTTCCTGTTTCACCAACGAGCAAGATTGTTTTGTTTTGCTGCATCCTTTTCCTACCAACAGTTACTTTTGTCAGATTTCCGATCTTCTCTTTCTGTGGCGTCAGCTTGTAGACAGCAGGAGATCTCGACTGAATGAGAACAGAGGTGACATGCTCAAATATGCTTGAAGTATTCCTGTAAAAAAGTAAAGATAGAATAAAACAGCTGAATATGAGGCTACATATCATCCCAACCCCTCAAAATGAAGCTGTGGTGTAAAATGTTAAAACAGATCTTGATGGGTTGTGCTCAGGTGTAGGGATGTTGACTTGGTCTAAGACGAACATTCAGAGAGGCTGAGTCTGTTTGAAGGAAAGATGGAAGAAGTTCAGGACTCTGTGAGAGACTGTGTGAGCTAACAGTTCAACAGTTTTGGAATAAAGTTCAGAGGGTCTGGAGAAATCTCTGTACTAAAGGGGGACAAGGACCAAAACCAGGACTGGATGGTCCTGATCTTAAGGGTATTAAAAACAGACAGGACTCTGAAGTAGGAATCACTGCAATGAAAGGACAACTGGACTAACTAAGTCCAGTTGAGTTGTCCTTTCAACAAAGAATTGGAAATCATAGATGCTGCATCCTCAGTTTTAAACAAAATCTCCAGGTTTAGGAGCAATATCTGCGTCCATCCAGACAAGGACTTTTTCACGGAGGACCTTCATATGATCCCAAACCACATTCTGATAACAGGGATCACAACAGCATGGCTCTCTAGGACTAGAGTCCTGCTGAGAAACTGGACCTTTCTGTTATTGTTGCACTGTTTTTTTAATAGAGTCAGAGTTAAGATGACTGGAAATCATAGATTTTAGATCACAGAGTGCCAGCTTTCCTATCTATTATTGTATCGGATTAAATTCCAGTACTCTTAATTTCTCTTTATTTATTTGAACATTTTAACAACTTTTGGTTTTACCACTTACTGATTTTTCAGTTTTTGCACTGTTTGATTTTTTTTTTTACAGTGTCATGACCATAGACTGTGTATAGAACAGACGCCGTCTGCCTCCTCCAGTGGGTGTAGCCACTGCGAGAACAGCACCCTCTGGTGACGGACTGCAGTATAGGTCATAAATTCCACCTCCTTATGGAGCTGTGGACAAACTTTATAAATTAATGACACAGAATATAAATGTTTCTCCCCCCTGGTTGTGATTTTGACATGTAGTTACTGTCAGACTGGCTTGTGCTCAAGTCCTCTTTTTTCTGTACAGCTCCATTTTTAAAAGTTATTATGGGGTTCATGTTTTCTATGATTGACACCTGATACAGCCTATGGGCATACGGAGATTGCGTAGCTCACTCGGGGGTTACGCTGTTTGAGCCGAGCATCATCACAGTGTCTCCCCTTCCAAATGCGTTGAAGGAAGTGGAGAAAATCCCAGAAATATGGAGAACAATAAGGCTTCAGATTTGTATAATGCTGGAAGGCAGAGCCAAGTTCTCCATAGTACTTACAGTCTATGGTCAGGACATTTGCACTGATGCAAGATTAATTTGATTCCCAAACACTAAAGTTTGCAGTATTGGTAGATCTCGTGTTTTTCTGATCAGTCTTTGTTGTACTGAATTCTTATACCCGTAAAGATCATGTTTTTTTGTTTTTTTGTTTTTTTGTGACCAACTTTTTATTTCATTTTTCATACATACCCACCCACCCACCCACCCACCCACCCACCAGACCCCCAGGGAGCAAGGCATTATATCTTGCATTGTACAATGTTTTTCCACATACAATTGCTAGTATTTGATGGGATGGAAACCAGCAATAAATAGATCATATATAAGAACAGACAATATATACATGATACATTATACATATATACATATACACACGCACGCATACCCATGTACACACCTGTCTATATACATATATATACATACATATATACCCACACATACACACATATATACACATATACATACATATACATACATACACACATACATACATATACATACACATGTTTTTTTGTTATTGATGAATTTATGATATATAAGTTTCAAAGCAGTGCAGAGCACATTCGGCTGTAACCTCTCATAACTCAGTACTCACGTTGCCATGGTTGTTTCCTCACAGCAGCTGACGGGTGGAGCAGCTTATCAGTTATCTGATGGGGGAAAAGAAAGCCATAAACTCAGGTCAGGAGGGGAAGAGTGAGCAGGTGAGCATAATTAATCACTGATTAGTCATAAATTGTACTTCATATAAATGAATAAACTTATGTGATAAATTGATCAATATAAATCAGTGTGCCTCATTGATTTATATTCGAAATGTTCTGATTTAGTGCTGCAGACTCAACCTCTGATCAGCAAGAATCGATCATATCAGCTGTCTTTTAATGTTCTGTCTCTTTAAGAGTTTCAAATACATTTATACATATCTTTTAGAAACACTACACTTCTCTGAAAATGTTTAGTCCGTCGTAGATCACCGTGTTCCTACCTGTCGTGTCAGCCGCAGGAAGCCCTCTGAGGAGGCAGGACGAACAGAGTTCAGTGTACACCGGCAGAGGCAAACACACTCAGGTCACATGACTGAAAATAACCTCACAGCTTACCCGTTTTACTTTCAGTTTCACTGTCAGTCTGCAGTCACACAATTTCCCTGAAATCACGTGTCAAACAACCCACAAGTGTATCTGAACAACAGGATACTTTAGACTCTGATACACAAACACAGAAAGATGTTAGGTGTCAGTTTATCCCTGTGAAATCAACCTCATGATAGCAGAGAGGCTCCTGTTCAGTTTCCATCGAATGAATCCATGAGCAATAATACTGTAAAGTACTTAAAATCTGAAATAAATCTTAAAGTACTAAAAACAAGAGCTTCAAATTGAACAGCAGAGGAGATGAATGTTGAACAAATCAGGACAGAGAAGTCAAAATGTCAGGTACAGTCTGTTCTCTCAGGATCCCTAAAGAGACTCTGTGGGGCCCTCAGGTGTTCAGGAAGAGTACTGCACAGGTGAGCAGCAGGGGTTATTCATAATGATAAACAAAAGGGCAGTTAGATTGACTTTTGAGATGGCTTCTAAAAATCTACTGGGGGAATTCTTACGCAGAGGGTACTGTCTGTGTTGCAGTGGTCACTGGTTCAATTCCCAACCACAACCTACAGCTGCATGTCTTCCACTAATGTCCACTCTCTCTTCAGCTGTCCTGTTGGTTTTCATCTCTGTTTTATCAGGTCTGCTTCAGTTTGGAGAAGATAGTTTGACTGCTTGTCATTGTCAAAATTGATGAGAAGTAAAAAAAAATCTACATATTCATTGTAGCTGGACTGAAAGATATCCATCCATGCATTTTCTACTGCTTATTCCCATTCCCGGGGTCTCGGGGGGCTGGGGCCTGTCCCAGCATCTTCAGGCAAAGGCAGGGGACACCCTGGACAAGTCGCCAGTTCATCGCAGGGCTGACGTATAGAGACGAACAACCATCCACGCTCACACTCACACCTACGGGCAATTTGGAAGTGGCCAATTAACCAAACCCCACTTCTGCATGTTATTGGGTTGTGGGAGGAAACCGGAGTAAACCCATGCAGACACAGGGAGAACATGCAAACTCCACACAGACACACCCTGACCCGGATTCAAACTCAGGACCTTCTTGCTGTGAGGTGGCAGTGCTAACCACTACACCACTGTGCTGCCCGAAATGCGGATATGGTTTTAAAAAATACACTATTTCCACCTTCTAGTGAAAGGTGCTCTGAGTGCATACAAGTACTCAATTGACCACTAGGAGGAGCTGTAATACAAAAGGACTGGAGACGAATAAGTGGAGCATTTCCTGGGAACCATTAACAGCAGCAGATAAATCCACATTTAGAGCTCTTGTGGGTTTTTTAATGAAGTCTTAATTTCACTTTTATCTTTGGGTATTTTCATCATTTTCAGGCTGACAGGAAAGATTTGTTTTCATGTGAATTATAATAAACTTTATACACTTTACATTTACGCTGACATCTGTAACTGCTTTTAATATGTTTTTTTTTTTCCTTTTCTCTCTCTTTGTCTCTCAGACTCTCTCCATGATGTGGGGTGATGAAGCTCTTTTACAGCCACACGTTAAAAATGAATGTCACAGAGGAAGCAGCTCAGGCAGCGACCCAAAAAACTCAAAAAAAAAACTCCAGAGAACTTCCTGAAATCTGAAGTAAGACTGCACAGGACAGTTCCTGAGAGTTTTCTAGATGTCAGTGGTTCATGTGCAGAAGGTGCTTTTCTCTTTCCTCTCTGGAGTCCGGGTCCTCTCCATGTCTCTGCTGGTCTAAGAGTTTTTCTTCTCACATAAAAATGTTTCATCTGCTGTTGAACGTTCACAGGTTTGTGAATGAACACCCTTAAATCTGAATATTTTATTTTCTTCTTTCAGACTCAAGGATGTTAATCTGAAAGACGCTGACGCTCTTTTATTTATAGTGTTTGCCTGTAACACACACACACACACACACACACACACACCACCTCAGTGAGTGTGTGTGGGCCGGCAGACGATCCTGTTAGTAAATGAATGGGTGATTGATGGACTGAAGCTCAAGAGCAAATTACCCCCTGAGGCTAAGCTCTCACCCCCGCTGTCCCCTCTTTAACCACCCCTCCCTCCCCCCCTGGAAAAGTCACCCTACCCCACCCCCTCTACACACACACACACACACACACACACACACACACACACACACACACACACACACACACACACACACACTCACACACACAAACACACACACACTTCTTATCAACTCTGGCTGTCACAGGTACCACTAAAAATCGCCCCCATACCTCTGGCTGCTGCAGGAGGGTTTTTAAGTCGACGGTGTGTGAACAAACATTGACACACAGACACAATAACACACACACCAAAGTGTCTGTCTAAAGCAGGAGGTACACTGACTTTGCTTCGGGTTCAACCATTTAAACAGATTCAATGAACTAAGCAGACACAGTTCCTGTGTATGTACGACTGTATCTGTGTAAGTTTTATAAATTTACAACTTAAATACTGCTAGATAACTGTTTTCCAAACGTTTCCCAACCTTTTACGTTTTTCTTGTACATGACAACGTAACAGCTTTTAACAGCTTCATTCTCTAACTCTGCTTCTATTCATCCCTAATACAGCTCTTGGACTTTGTTTAGCAGGAGCACAATAATTAAAAATCTGTTAAGAAGTTAAGAATTAATTACAGATATTCAAAGAGTAATAAACATATTCACAAATAAATGAATGTGCAAACAAAGATGAAAGAAAAGTGTTTATGCCGAAATATCGCTGTGATATCTTTTAAACATACGTGACTATAAAGCATATTCTATTTATTATTTAAGCTATCATTTTATTTTCTCATATCATCTCTCTGTTGAGAGAGAGACCCCCCCCCCCCCCAGTAGGGTCCAGCTGTCAATCAGCTGGGAGGGGGCGGGGCTTACAGAATATCAGAAAACAGAAAAAAAGTGGGGAAAAAAAGCAAAACTTTGAAAAGTTGCTCTGAGAGTCTTTCCACCTTTAGACGTCTCTGATTGGTTTGTTAATGGGCATGAGGAGGGGTGTGTGTGTGTGTGTTTGGCTCTAACAGTGTCTCATTTCCTCTCTGTTTCTGAGCTGTAATGATCTCTGAGCTGAGTAAACACACACACACACACACACACACACACACACACACACACACACACAGGAGCTCCTGAATTCTTCGCCTGAGCTCCTGAATTCTTCGCCTGAAGCTGCATCCCTGCATTCTTTCTGTGTCAGCAGAAGTTTCTGCTCTAACTTCTTTCTGGGACACTAAAGGTTTTCAGTTTCAGCGGCTTTTATTTCGAATGAACAGACTCCGCCCATCACAGGTTACATACTGGTTAGACTGGATTGGTTACAAATCAATACATAATGACTGCGAACGAGACATCCGAGTAAAGCAAAGAACTCCCACATACAAATATTTTCATGAACAAAACTCATGAGATCCTCCAAACAAGCAGCAACTTCACTGCATGAAAGGTGCAGTTCCTGAAGTCCCCACTAGAGGCTGGTTTAAAAGCCCAGGAAGCCACATACACACCCATTATTAAAAATCATCTTTCTGGGTCTGCAATTGTGGTCTGACCCCCAATTTCCACTGCATCTGGCAGGCTATGAAAAGGCTGTATCCGCCAATCGTAGCTGATCGGAACCATTCAAGTTAATGTGTCAGTCTTTCGGAGTTCTACATTCCACAATTCAACTGTTGTCAAAAATGTGGTTTGGGATCATATGAAGGTCTTCCCTGAAAAAGTCTTTGTCTGGATGGACGCAGATGTTGCTCTTAAACCTGGAGATATTGTCTAAAACTGGGGATGCAGCATCTGTGATTTCCAATTCTTCGTTGAAAGGACAGCTGGACTTTCCAAAAGAGTGTTACCCCCAATTTCCACTGGATCCAGAACAGCTTCCAAAAGGCTGTATCTGCTGTTCGTAGCTGGTAGTAACTATTTAAGTTAATGTGTCAATTTCCACCGGCTTCTTTTCATTCCTCTGCAGATCGCCAGACTCCTCAGCTGATCGCAAGAGTTCTTTTTTTTCCGGACGCCGGAGCATGCCAGATAAATTCAGCACGTGCTGAAAAGGAAGTCGATGAAAAGGTTTTAGACGTCATTTCACCCCGATGACACCATGGATGAGGAGATGCTGATTCTAGAAGTCTAGAAGTAGATTTCCTCCTCTGGAAGGACACAATCTACTGCTTATATGTCTATGTGTCCGTCTTTATAGAGAGAAGTCGTTATTGTGCGATTGCACGTGAATCTGCAGGTTCTTGTGAGTTTTTGCGATTCCTGCTGTCCACAATCCGCCATGAAATTTGCCTCACCAACGGATCTGGTAGGAATTGTCAGACAGCAAAAACATTGCCGTTCCGTATCAGAGCCATTCCTGATGTGGTGAAAATTGGAGGTGATTCAGGCCTGGGTCCAGGTTGAGCCTGCAGCCTCTTGACTTCATGTCTCCTGTCCTAATAGAGGCTGTGATGAGGAGACTCTGTTGTGAAAGCGATCCACACACATACAGATCCTCTAACACAC